ACAGTATGACAAATCTTTTGGTTTCGCATGGGAGCACGCCTATGTACCTTTACAAAGGGAGTCATGCATAACCTTTAAGTTGATCGTAATACATAACTGCAACAACACGAATGTTGACGACTTGCGTTAGTATACACAGTGCATTCGGTACGTTTTTGAAACATGATTAGAAAATTGTTGACTGGAGGCTATTACAGAAGTTTTAAAATTTTCGCGTATCACCGCCTTTTCTGTAAATGGGGTGAATATTGTTATCCATTTAATTTTTTTCCACAAGTATTTAAATAATTCCTGCTGGTATTTGGTCTAAGCCTACTTCTTTTCTTCATTCAAGGTGTTTCATAGGTAATTCTACTTCCTCTGTATGATGCCTTGTATATATGTTTTGGTAATTTTCGGCTATTTCATCTCTTATAACAAAAAACAGTTGTTGTTTCGGATATCTTTATTGCGTTTCCTTTTTTTATGGATGAATATTTTGCCATTTTCATCGTCTACTATTTCATATTGAGCTACACGATCAAGAATTCCAAATCCAGAAAACACAAATAACACTCCGGATTATATTATATAACTAATAGTCGGAAAATGAAGAGCCAGAGGTAGATGGCAAAGAAGCCAAAATCCTAATGACAAACACACATATAATCGACTAATCGGACAATTAAGATCAGCGCTACATGATGCACGCAATGCCACATTTGAACATTACACTAGTACATTGTCTAAAGATCATTCAGTATGGACAGCAACAAAAATCCTTAAAGAGACCTAAAGAACACAACTCACCAATTAAAAAAGATAACGTTAGTTGAGGAAGATCAGACCAGGAAAAAAGTCAACATTTTCAGAATACTTGGCTAGTATTTTTAAAATAACCAACCAGATAATAATAATCAAGCAATAAAACACTGAAAACTTTTGTTTTTAACTGTCCGCCCGTGAATGACTTGCCATTTTTTAAATAACACTTCATATTGCACTTTTTTATTGTATTTTTCTCATTTTTTAAGATAATTCTTGTAGGAATATATTTGTTTATAACATACGGTCTTATGGTCTCACGACAAGTATTACGGCTTGATTATACAACTTAAATATATCTTGTACCGCACTGTTAATTGAGAATTATGTTTGTAATGCGATAAGAGGACCGTATATACGAGACACCAGTGACTCATGCCACACATAAAACTTCGACAGGAAATTCTATTTCTACATTTCTATTTAAAAAATAGATTACTTGTTTTGTGTAATAATTTAGTTTAGGTCGAACAAGAGTTGCAGTAAAATTTTTTTCTGAAATAGAATTTAAATCATATTTCAAATGCTTTGTGAAAGATAACCAATTTATAATATTCCCGACAACGTAAAAACACATTTCTTTTAGAATATGGGTCGATGAATTCAAATCATAGTTCAAGAAACGAATTTATGTGCAGATGTTCTACTACAAAAAACACAAAAACAAAATCTAGATTAAAAAAGTCGCAACTACTTATACTGAAACTTCACCCCATTATTGATTTCACAAGTAATAAAATGGGTCGACAAAGAACCAGTTTTAATTATTACAACATTTAAACATAATAGTTGTATCTTGGTTTATTTAGGTGGAAAGAAAAATTAGACACAAGTGCTAAAACCACAAACTATTCTAGATTATAACGTTGTGAAAAAAGAGTTGATTTTAGTGATCAAATGGCTTTTTACAAAAGCCCAATACGCAAAATACTAAAGTGGTACCGGAAAGTGGCAGTGGAATTAATATTTAATACCGCAGTAGTCAATACTTGTTACTAAATAATAGAAAACGCGAAAAAAGCGACAAACTATCCTTGAGTTCAGACTGGAATTAGCGAAGGCGTTTGCAAATAAAGAAATGTTGAAACCCTGATGACTAATTACACCCAAAAAATACCATCTCAGGCAAAGCGATGTAGATAATAAAAAGAGAAGGAAGTGTACAAGAGGTTACAAAATTTTAAGAATAAGCGTGACTAGTAGAAAGGCCGATAGAAAAATTAAAAAAGTTAAAACATACTGTGAAGAATATGATGGCAAAACTGCAATATGTCTAGTGTGCTTCAATGAAGCACATTAAAAAGCAATTATACTTATACAGGAACTATTATTGAGTAAAAACGTGTTGTGCCTTAAGTGCCATTATAGTATTGGAAAACATAAATTGATAGTTTCTAGTAGTATGTTTTTATTGTTAATTACGTATGTTAAAGTAAGTTATAGTATTTGTAAAAAAATGGATGTAAATAATAGTATGTGTTCGACATCTAAAAAAGCAAGACGTTAACATAAACGTAGATTGACCACTGCTGAATTACAATCATTTTTAGAAGCATCTGGCGAGGATGATGTAGATTAAATGAATGGTGGAAGTGACTCTGACGAAATATTTGCACAAAGTCGTTTAGAAAAATCGAGGATTGCGTTTTGGAAACAGACAACACAAACAGAATTTAAAACTTTTCTCGGGCTTATATTCTAAATGAGGACAATTAAGATGAACCGTCTAAATGACTACTGGAAAAGTATGGGTAACTTCTAAAATAGATCTATCAGTAATTGACTTTACTAGACAATTACTGATAGCCCATATTAAGAAATAACCGAATAGACAATCCCCAATTGTCAAAGAAACTAAAAAAAAACGTAAAGTGGTCAGTATTTACAGTCCTGAAGGAATATGTGTGACCAAGTGCAGAGATAAACAAGACATAATTACTATTTAAATGGGAATAAGCCACAACTAAAGGTTAAAGTACGTTTATTGGCATTTCAATTTCCAATTCGGAAATCTTTCTCAAAATAGAAACGTATTTTCGTATTTTGTCGAAAAACCCTCAATTATTTTGCAGTAATTTATAAATGTTAATAGCTTCGTTTGTACATAATGGCTTTTAATATAACTAATTTAAATTGGGGCAGTTAATACGTTATTAAAGTGTGGTATATTTCACATAGATCACAAAGTTATCCAATTTGTTTATCCCAAAGAGCGATTATCTAAACGACTGTACTTACCCAGATAGTCACTCTGTACTCTGTATACTCACGTGTATTCTGTAAATCGAACTCGCTTTTATAAGAGTTCATACTTTCAACGTAAAAATTTAGTAAGATAGGTCAAAATAGCACAATTCTTATTATTTGGTTGAGCTACCCTAGTAAAGAAATAAAGGTTCTACGTGCCACAGAAGCCGAGATATTAAACATTTTGCAAGTGTGCTTCAATTTAAAGTCCGAATCTAAAAAAAACAAGCTCAGACAGTTCTTACCTCCGTGGTACTTTTCCGTGGCGGTAATTTACGAACACCATTATTTTAATGGGTTATAACTTTTTACTCCTTTACTGTGTATGCCATCTATAACTTGGATCATATATTATAGATCTTAATTCAAAATCCTTTCAATTTTTAGATCTTGTATTAATAAACAATGAAAATATGATTTTAAGAATTAAATGTTATCTTAGTTCTTATTGGTTAAATATGGTTCTGTTTTTGTCTCTTTGTTTTCTTATAAGCCATTAAGATTGCAAATTACAAAATACTTGTACATACAAGTATTGGACAAGTATTTGGACAAGTTCAAAGTGATTTGCTTAATATTTAGCACACCTTAAAAACCCATTAATTGCCATAATTTGAAGTAGCTATATTATCTGCCGTTGGGCAAAAAATTCAATTATTACCATTTATAAATTACTAAAAACATAATATTTTAGAGTTTAGGGTTTTTTGCAATTACCTCGCTCAATAATTTATATATTTTAATTTGGTATCCCTCAACATAAAAAACCTTTTATGGTCTACAACTTTTATTTGAATCATTTTTCTTTAGAATGTGAAAAAACGTTTTACAAGCAAAAATTTTTTTTGTATCTTTTAAGATTGTTTAAAAAAAAGAACAAAGCATAATCAACTGTACATTTACGAATTTTCATCAGCTACCTCTCATACTATTTAGAATTTAAATAACCTTAGAAAATTTTTGAAAATTATTTACCGAGGTTCTGTGAAATACTTTCTTGTTGCATGGTTAAGTTAAATATTATTTTTTTTATGTATATTATGTATATAAAAATGTAATATTAATTACATTTTTAATTAACTAATATTTATTGTTTATTGTACAAATTATCTAAAATGTGTATACACATGTTATACAAAAAAAAGTTTTTGAGAACGATTTCCGGAATGGAAATTAAAATGTCAAACACAAGTTAATTAAAAATGTGATTCTTATCACAATTACAACCAATAATTGAGGCGTAATCCCATAAAAACATAATATTTACCTCAAACTATTCACCGATAGCTTGGATTAAACAGGTTGTAAATTGAAATTTATGTAAAATATTCCCCTACACAATTCTCTGGGAAAAATATCTACGTTAAATAAATATACCTAATATCTAGACCTAGACAAAGAAAAAACCAGTTAAGACCGCAACTTGTTAGCAGGTCGTTAGTAGGTTGACCGAAAACGGATCGATATTTATGTACCTAGATATTATTTTAAGTATTAATATCGGCAACATCTATTGACTTTAAAATGATAGCAAATACAGTGATTTTAAATGATCGATGTTAAAACGAAGGATTGATGTAAAAAATTAAATATATAAAAAAATCAGAATATTGAAAAACCGACAACGCTGCTAAGCCAACAGAGGTGCACTAAACGAACATACACGACTTATATATAGAAAATAATAGATTTTCTTGGTGATGCTAAATTACTGCAACGTGAAAGGAGTTTAAAATGATGGCGGGATGTATATATATATATATATATATATATATATATATATATATATATATATACATTAGTATCTTACTCTAGTAGACATGAGATTTTCTAGCGTAATTATGTGCCAACTATACTTTACTATATGTATATTGCTGTTCAGATGATTTTATAACAATTGTAGCATAATAATGTTCTAAAGAAACTTTAGCTGGAAAAAACTTTATTACCTCTTCCTATATCATTATAAGATTGTTTTGTAGTCCTTCCGTTGTCATCAAAATGAGCTACCCCTCTTCCTTTACCAAGCCACTTAATTTTCGATACACTCTGGCTAAAATCTACATGTATCCTTCTATCATCAATAAGTATATTATCCATTTTAAAATATGCATCTTCACATGATTTTCTTTCTGCAAATTCGATAAATGCATACTGCAAAGAATCTCCAGTTTTTCTATCTCTGATAACTTCACAAGAAACAATTTTACCAAATCTATTAAATATTATTTCTAGATCATCATCAGTAGTTACAGGATTTAGTTTACATACAAATAATACATTTTCTGGAGGAGCCATGTCTGCATTTGGTAAATCACCTACCATTTCTAAGATTGTAGCTCTAGATTTAGCCTCTCTTTCTGCTTGCTCTTCAGCAATTTCTTGAGCTGTCTTGCCTTCTGTTTCATCAATCTTTTCATCAGGAGCTATTCTACCACCTTGAAGAAGTTCAGTACTAGGTGATGGTGATCTGGATGGTACTATAAGTCTCTTTGGGTCTGGAAAAGGATCACTTAAAATAACTGTATGAGTAATCCTTACATCTTGATAAGGGCAATCATCATTATCACAAATAACTTCATTGATTTCTTCTAAAATACTCATTCCGTCAACTACTTCTCCAAATACACAATGTTTCTGATCAAGATATATTAAGTCTTCACCTAAAGTGAAAAAAAACTGGGATCCAATCATGTGCTCTTCATTTCCAACAAAAGAAATAAGTCCTATTTTAGTATGTTTAATTCTTGGTTCATTTTCAGCTTCAAAATATCTGTAAAAAGGAATCAAATGAAAGGCGCTAAAAATATTTAGCAGACATTCAATATTTTTATACTAGAAAAAATTGTGAACAATTTTTTGTACATAAAAATTGGTGAACTTATTATATAATAAGTGTAAAACTGACCCTAGCTATCAAATAGTTATAAAAATTATAACTATTATAAGAATTTTAGTTGCACCTTCACTAATTACCACTTAGATGAAATGCTAAAATTGGTTGCTGTTAAGAGGTGGTCACTAATCAGAGGATAACAATGAACATTATAAAACAACAGGTGATAGTCATAGTTATGTGGAGTGGTCATTAGGTAGAGATTTAAGCCATAAAACCATCATCATCATCATCTTGGTGCTACAGCCCTTAGAGGGCCTCGACCTTCTCAAGCTTTCTACGCCATTCTGTTCTGTCCCTTGCTTGCATTTTCCAGTTGCCGACTCCGATCTTTTCCGCCTCTTGTGTTACCCCATCCATCCACCTCAGCTTTGGTCTACCCCGTTTTCTAATTCCCACGGATTGCGCTGTTTTAGTTAGCGTCCATGTCTCTGATCCATATGTGAGAACGGGGACTATCAGTGTTCTATACAGCCTTATACGAGTTTTTTGAGGCAGACGTTTGTTAGCTAAGAACTTTGATAGAGCATGATAACACCTGTTTGCAATTATCAGTCGCCTTTTATTTCCTCAGATGTGTTATTATTGGGGTTAACCGATGTCCCTAGATATATGAACTCTTTGACTGTTTCGAAGTTTTGGTCATTGATAATTAAATTTGCGTCAACATTTTCAGCTCTTGTTTTTATGTTAGTCGCCATGAATTTGGTTTTATTTTGATTTATATGTAACCCCATTCGTTCTGCTACTGCTACTAGCTCGGTTAGGATTTTCGCAGTTCTCGCCCTGGTTCTTGTTATAATGTCCATGTCGTCTGCATATGCTAGAATTTAGACTGATCTATTGAATATTGTTCCCCTGCTATCTAAATTAGCGTCTCGTACAACTTTTTCTAAGCCGACATTAAAAAGCTGACACTCCAGCGCATCTCCCTGCCTTAACCCCCTATGTATTTCAAATGTTGTTGACGAGTCGTTTTGAATTTTTACTGCTGATAGCATCTTCACCATTTTCACTTTTAAATAATTGATGGATTCGACCGTTACTTGATGGAAATTCATTTTATGTAACAATAAAACACTGAAAACTTTGTTTTCAAACTTCCACAACATTTATTTTATATCTTATCACGACAGCGGTTTCGGTTGATTGCCTTTCTCAAGTGATCTATTTTTGGCTTGCGTTTACACTTTATAGTCTCTAATGAAATAGGTTGAGGAGAGGAGAACTGTTTGTCTCAAGTTGGTCATTCAGAATTATATGTGTGTTTTTTAATTTGTTGATTTCCATAGATTCTAACAAAGACAACTTAAGGCCTATATTTTTAATGTGAAGAATTTTTAATTTGTCATTAAAAGAATGATTATGATCTAGAAGGTGAAGTGCGTATGTAGAATCTGTTTTTCTATTATTGAAAGCCCTTTTATGTTCTAGTTTCTACCAGTTTGACCGATGTCTTTTGGGCAATCGCCACATTTAAGTTTGTACACACCACTATGTAAGTGTTTTTTATTTTGGCTCTTGTTGTTTTTAATATATTTGCCTAGGTTGTTATTTGTTCGGAACGCTGGTGTTATTTCTTTCTTTTTTATGAGTTTGGCTATTTTTGTTGATATTTTGCCTGTATGTATATGTAAGCGAGCAGAAGGTACTGGGTTTTTTCTCTGGTGGTGGAAATACTAAATACAGTGCAGGACTTATAATGGGCAATCCTCTAAGCCCATTGCTATCAGATATTTTTATGGATCATATACAGACAGATTTCAAAACATCCCGTATTTAAACAGTTTTTATATTGGTGGAGATACGTAGACGACGTACTAGTATGTTTCACAGGAACTAACAGGCAACTCGACCAATTTTTATCGTATATTAATTCACTTCATATTGAATTTACAATAGAAACAGAACAAAATCAATCCATAAATTTTTTAGATTGAAAAATTAATTAAATTATCAGACTTAAAAACCAACATGGCTTCTCCATATTTCACAAACCTACCCATACTGACACGACTATACATAATTCATCATCCCATCCAACACAACATCAACTGGCAGCATATCATAGTAAGTTACATAGATTAACAGAGACTCCGATGTCAAAATACAACTTTGAAACATAATTAAATATAATTAAGCAAATAGCAGTAAACAACGGATACAACGAACAAACAATTAATAAAATGTTAAATCAAAAACTACACAAGAAAGCCCTGAAATTAGTATTTCCACCACCAAAGAAAAAATCCAGTACCTTCTACTCGATTACATATACATACAGGCAAAATATCAACAAAAATAGCCAAACATATAAAAAAGAAAGAAATAACACCAGCTTTCCCAACAAATAACAACCTAGGCAAATATATTAAAAACAACAAGAGCCAAAATAAAAAACACTTACATAGTGGTGTGTACAAACTTAAATGTGGCGTCTGCCCAAAAGACATCGGTCAAACTAGTAGAAACTTTAATAAACGAATAGCAGAACATAAAAGGGCTTTCAATAATAGAAAAACATATTCTACATACGCACTTCACATTCTAGATCATAATCATTCTTTTAGTGACAAATTTAAAATTCTTCACATTCAACATAAAGGCCTTAAGTTATCTTTGTTAGAATCTATGGAAATCAACAAATTAAAAAACACAGATATAATTCTGAATGATCAACTTGAGACAAACAGTTCTCCCCTCCTCAACCTATTTCATTAGAGACTAAAAAGTGTAAACGCAAGCCAAAAATAGATCACTTGAGAAAGGCAATCAGCCGAAACGGCTGTAGTGATAAGATATAAAATAAATTTTGTGGAAGTTTGAAAACAAAGTTTTCAGTGTTTTATTGTCACTTTTATCAAACATAGGAGTTTTTTTTGGAATTCCTAACTCATTCATAGCGTTGTAAAGACTTGGTCTTAAGATATGCCGCTTTAAAATCGACAAAAATATGATACATATCTATGTTAAACTCTTGGGCTTTTTCGAGGATCTGTTGTAGTGTAAAGCCATAAAACCATAAGGAATTAATTAAGGAATGAGTTAAGTGGTTGCTATATCAAGTTGATTATTATTTAGAGGACTTATTAGTGAAGGTTTTAACCCTCAACTAGCGTGGTGAATATTTTGTGCGTAATCGGAGTTATGAAGTCCCGGGAACCGCGTATGTAATAATTAAAAGCATGCATTATTGAAGAAGAAAAGCTAGTTTTTTATTTTTAGCACATTAATAATATAATATTAACAATGATACATAAATAATAAAATATAATTAACCATTATATACAAAAACTTTTCAGGACAAAAAATTGTTTTGAAAATTTCTGTTAAAATATGTATATTTTCTGAAAATGTTGCCATGAAAAAAGCACGAGCAGACATTACTTGAAATAAATCATTAATAATAAGACAAATTAATCGAAATTCATACATATACAAAATTTTGAATGACAAATGAACATCAAAATGCTACTTATGAAAAAAAAATACCAAATAAACTAAAAAAGGTACACGCGTAATTTACGGGTCATTTTGCACTTCGATTTGCGCACAATCTAGGCAAAATTTTTCAGAACCCTCTAAACAAATAGGTATTTTGCAAGAAAAACACAGATATGCAGTTTTTCTCTTCTTTTTTGGTGGATATATGGAGTAAGTTTTTCGATTTTCTCGTGTTAGTTTGTCGGATGAACCAGCATTAGTTTCATCATATGGCACATTTTTCTCCCCTAGGATACGACCGATTGACATTCGAAGTTCACGTGGTAGTCTTATTATGAACCTGTTCTCTCATATATGGTTCAATCAACTGTTTAGCAACAATCTTTGCATTGCAATTTTAATCCATATTTAGCCGGTTTTGATGGCATATACATTTTGAAGCGGCAATACTAAATGCTATTAACATTTCATCAACAGTTGTATTAGACCCCAAAGAAAATGAGGTTTGTGAGCTTTGGTTCAATTTTTCAAGTGTTCCGTTATTCCAGCGCCTGGGTCAGTTATTTTCCATTCTTGTCGATCAACTGGATCATCGAATCTCAAACAGTTAAGAGCGCAAAATCATTTTGCAGACAAAGAATGTCTAAAAATATTTCGTCCTGTTGAAACCTCAATACTCCGGGAGTATTGGATTTTAGGAAGTGTAAGACTTCCAAATTCCAGAAGAACTGGAAGAGAGGTGATGATAATACTAAAAATATGGCTAAGCTCAGAAGAACAAAGTTAAATAGCCAAAGAGACGCTAAATATCAAGGGAGTGTTCGGGCTAGCTTCAATGCACTGGATTGTGGCTTTAAATATATAAACAGATAGCAAGGATACTGAGCTAATGAGACAAGAAACGAAATGAGACCTGGTAATATCAAATGTGATACAACTAAAGAAGGTCAATGGGAATAAATTTAAGAGAAAAAGAAGGGCGCCAACTCAACGATAGTTGAGATTTTGAAGTAACAAATGACCGGAAACAAATGATACTAGAGATAATAACCTGAAATCCAAAAATACTAAATATTAATCTTGTCTTGCTATATTATATACTGGTTAGTAGAACTGAAATAAAACTCAAAATAGTAACAATAAATATATTTATAAAAATGTGTATATCGATATATATGTATTAACAATTTACATGTAATGCAAAAACTAAATAACAGTGGTAGTGGGTGTGTAAAGATACAATAGGACCTAATAGCCCCTCAACAAGCGAACAGTCACTACCACTGGCCAAATAAAGTTTAAAATATGAGTAACACCAAGAATAGTCCGTATGGTAGCCAAAGTCTTAACACAAAAAGGAGTAATTTAAATTTAACTAGTTCAACTAAAATGAGATACAAATTACAATATTGTAAAGATATCAAACTCGATAA